CACACACACACACACACACACACACACACACACACACACACACACTCTCTCACAGACTTTGGAATCCTATGACGTGTGGAAAAAAGAAAAGAAACGTTTCAGAAACAGAAGCCCAGGGATGAATTTCCTGGATTTGGGAAGCTTGGTAGCAAGTTAATCCTACCCCCTACCCCCCACTTATTCCCCCCCACCCCGGTTCCCAGCCCCTCTCTTCCTGTGGGTGGGTGAGGGGAGGTCGAGGGAGGGGAAGAAAAGAGCGCGCCCCGCCGAAACAGAGCAGAGCGCAGCGAGAGGAGGGAAGTCCCATTTCAGTCCCTCCGTGGGACACACGTGAGCCGGTCGTGTGGCCAGCGCGACTTCACCGCGATGAGACGACGGCTCCTTCCTGGACGCGATGCTGAGGCCACACAAGCTGTGCCAGGAGTAGAGACAGGGAGCAACAAGTACAGCCACGTCCAGTAGAGTTTTTACATAGTTCAGAGTTCTGGAGTGTCATGTTGACATTCAAATGATTCTCTGTCTCTGTCTCTGTTTCTGTTTCTCTGTCTCTCTCTGATTCAGAGACTCCGGCGACTGGTCGTGGGCCCGCAGCGCTGCTTCACATTTTCCACAGTCTAATACGTGTCATGATCCGGTTCTACTCCACCTGATGGTCATGCTGCTCGGTGGAGCAGCGACGTTCACCCGTCCACGTAAACCCTGTTTCACAGCGTAGCCCAGAGGAGTCCCGCTGCTCTCTCCCCTCAGAAAGATTTTACAAATCGTTGTAACGCCGTCATCGGCCAAGTACTATCTCCACCAAAAAGCAGACAGGGAAAACAAAAAGGGTGTCTTCTTTTGTATGCTAACCACCTTTTATTTGAAGACGTTAATTTTACCAACAGTTTGAGTGAAGATAATATCCAGTAGCTGTTGGGCACTGAGACAATTTAATTCCAATTTCTCCTCCAAATTAAAGGTTTCACACCTGTGCTCGAGAATATAATCCAAACTCGCTAGTGGTCGCTAAGAGTCTCCCCTCTTCTTGCCGAGCAGTCAATTCCAAGCTAGTGTTGGCCGACAGGTAGCCAATCAAATTTGAAACACGCAATGTCAGCCCCACCAGTCATCAAATTTGTGAAATAAAGCAACACTCTGCGCATGTGTATTTATACTTTCCCCACATACAATACACGTTGCATTGTGAGAGAGGGGCCACACAGGCCACCGTAGGCCTACTGCGGACGCCACGGATCATCTGAAGCAGCACGACACTGACTACTGAACATGATGACCACATTAAATCCTAACACACATTATATGAAATTTAGGATGATTCATAGATAATAAATTATGGCAGATAGTAAGCGTTGAGAATTAATAACATAACATAATTTGTATGCCCCACCCACCCCTAATGACCAGTCACCATGTCTTCTGCATGTGGTCCCTTTTCTTATAATGTTATTACTGATGTAATAATAATGTTTATCACTGATGATCTCATCTACAATAATGAGAAATGTGTTATTCTCGGCCTCCGTTCAGTTACAGCGGCGTGTTTCACAAGTAAGATTTGCGGTTTCCTGCCTTTGAACGTCACAGATGTGGAAGTACCAGATATCCACACAGTGGGAGGAATAAATAAAAAAGAGCACGTCCTGGTCATAGATTACGTTGTGAATCCTAGCGTGTCCTGCTGGCAGAGCTGTCAGCCCGAGAGTCCGTCACACCGGACAGTGGAGGAGGTCCTACCGCCGTCTGGTCCAGAAGAAGTTTGGTCGACTCGACTGAAGTTCCTCAGTTCCCATCAGCCTACTCTTGTTCCATTATAGTGACAAAATTATATTAAACCTCTGAACCTCGAGCACTTTCGGGGCGTTTTTTACTCCCGTCACATTTTCCTCTCTGTGGCCTTAATCTTCACTGCAAAGTAGAACAGCACAGCCATGGCTAGAGGTAGAGAGAACTCAAGTTGAATTTCTTTGATCATTTATTTTACAAAAATTGGCAAACAATGGAATCCATATATCCAAAATTTGGGTAAGTGTCCAAAAGTGTAACCGATGTTGGAAAAACAAAATGGGGGCTGCACGTGCTTTATATATTGAGATTTCTGACAACCTCTCCTTACAGCCTCTCCTCTCCTCAATGCTCTGTGCTCAGCAGCCTGCAGATCCAAGTTTCACTGATGTGATGACACGGGACTGTTGTGACTTTAATGTTTTTTCACAGGAATGTTTAGAGTAAACGGTTTATTTGTGGCGAAATTTAAAATGAGACATGTAGAATAAAATGTTGATGAAATATCACAATTTAAACAAAATTCCCCTTGCAGGATGAATAAAGTATCTATCTATCTATCTATCTATCTAATTTTAAGCTTAGCTTCGGTTGCTTTTTCTGACGGAAGCGTTCGTCACACATGATGCATTCAAGATGAAAATCTGACGATAGTGGCGTTTTTTACAGCTTCTGGCTGTGATAAACGGTGTAGTTTTGGCGACGGGTTTTGGGGTTCAGAGGGTTAAACTGGGGAGCTACTCGACTGAGGATTGGAATCATAGCGGAGCGGACAATCTTTTTAAATATCTAAATAAGTGACGTGTGGGTACCATGACAAACATGGACGTGCATGGAGTGCATTAACAAAACAACCAAGAGTTTTCCTCTTGATCGGCAGTACCACTAATTGGCTACAGCTGAGTAAATCTGTTGGACACATTTGTCATTTAATGGTCTCCAGACAAAACGTTTCTCTTACCTCTTAGTAATGCATTGTCAATAGCAGAAGTGGGAATTAAAGTAGCGACTCTTGCGATTTCAAAACTGCTCTTTCAAACTGCAAACATTCCCTCCAACACACGCACAAACACACATCCTGTTTAATGCAAACACACACATACCTCTTCACTTGTTATCCATATTTTTGGATGGCTGCAAGCTCCCGTCGCTTCTTTCATCAGCAGAGAAAGTTTCTGAGGGATTCTTATTGGACTGTAAGCGTTACAGCTCTCTTCTCTCCTTCAGTAGTCTGTTTTTGAAACCCCTCTCCCTTTCTCAGTGAAGAAAGCCCCCGTCGGATCTGAGGCGAGGGCAGGAGCGGTGACGAGACTGTGGGTCCTATATATAGCTGAGATGTGACAGGACATCCGAGAGGACGTCTAGACACAAACGACACAGCTCGAACTCAGATTATGTGTGTGTGTGTGTGTGTGTTACTGTGAGTTGAACGTGGCCTTGTTATCTCGCATTTCATGAGAAATGCCTGTGGCGAGCCAGTCCACGATAACGCCACGAGATTGCACTAATATCGCGGCCCGGTCCGATCTGATTGGCTGGAAGTTTTGACAAAATGACTAGAGATTGTGACAGTAAGAAGGAGAGACGCTCCGAGAATGAGAGAGGGGAGGGAGGGGGGGGGAGGGGGGGATGTGAGGAAGGAAAACATATCAGAGAGAGAGAGGGTGACTCATCAGAAAAGGAATGTCCCTTCGCTGCCAAAGGAACCACAGACACCACTGCAATCATCGCTCCCTCGCCAATACTTTAAACCATCCCCTCCCTCGCTCTCGTCCTCTCACATAGCGGCCGTCTCTTTCTCCTGACCAACCGGTGGAAGCCATCGTCGTTGTTTCCCCCAGATACCAGCCGAGTACTCTCATGGACGAGCTTGACGCAGCATTTCCAGCACCGCATGTTCCATCAAAGTTACACCGTTTAAGTCATCTCAATTCTTGTCTACAAAACTAATCAAATTTTTTTTTAAATTATGCAATCGCATGAATCACATCCTCAGCACAGATGTTGACTTATCACTACTCCCCCCACAGGATGTGAACCCAAGGGAGGCGTCTGTCAGGAACGAATAAGATCAATGATTCAACATTCCTGTCGCCCGTCATCCTGAGCGCTCATCACGCAGGAACCACCATCATACAATCCTGAGCTCCCAAGGTTCATTGTCACGACAGAAGGGAGGATCTGTCAAAAACTAGGAGCAAGGCTTGCTGTAGCGTTTTATAGAGGGGGGGGCTAAATCACCAGAGAAGAAGAGCACCATCGCAAACAGGAACAAATTGATACACTTCATGAAGTAAAACTTGACCCTTCAGGAAATGTAGCAGGGGTACTATTTCACACGGCATACAGCACACGGCCTATGTCTTTGTTTTGGCTGTAATCTACTGACTAAACTGATCTCTGATCTGGAAAAGTTCACTCTGTGACTGAACGTTGTAGAGCTGCAACTAACGATTATTAATATTCTGTCGATTGTATTCTTGATCGGTCAATTTAGCATTTGAAAGGCCAAAATGCTGAACACAAGGCTTCAAAAAGGGAGTACACAAACCAATGGGTGACGTCACGACGAGTACTTCTCATAAACAGGTACAGTATATGGTTCCTGGTGAATGCAGCAATGGTGGGAGATAAGACTACCAAGTCTGTCCTTTTTCAGCCTGTTCCATCACTTCGGGGCTTTCACAGTGTGTGACGATGGGTTTGAAAGTCAGGGAGGGAGGCAGAAAACCCTTATGCAGCTGAACTGGGAGTGATGAACTGTACAGTACGTGAGAAAGTGCAGCCAAGTGGAAAAGACAACATCGGGAGCAGAAACATATAAACAAAAGAGAGTGTGTGCGTACAGCTCCCTTAAAGAGCAGAAAACTCCGTCTGCCCTCGCCCGCTTCCACAGCTCATCTGAATAACCTGCGTACAGACTTGACAGCGAGAAGACAGCCGATCAGCGATGGGCTGCCAGGGGCCCGACACGTTACATGCACACACACGCACACACACACACACACACACACACGAGTGTGAGCGCGAAGAAAGAGTGCAGCGTCAAACTGAGCCACAACAAGGTGATGCGGCTCAAGCAGGAAAACACGTCAAAAGAAACGTGAGCGAGACTGACAGACGGGACAGAAAGGGGGGGGCCCCGTCGCTCAGCTTCACACCCTACAGGATGAACGGGGCCTCTGTGCTCCTTCTCTGTTCAAACACACCTCACGGCTGTCTGCTCCCTGCAACAACAATGCAACACACACACACACACTCACTGCAGCCTGCCTGACAGTGGGCACAATACGCCTATTGAGGGGCATCGATGGGGGGGCTGAAAGTGAAGAGAGAGAGAGAGAGAGAGAGAGAGAGAGAGATTGGCAACAACACACATAAACACACGCAGACAAACACACGCAAACAAACCGCAGTCTGGTTTTCTCGACAGCCTGGGACGAATCCACTCTCTGCTCCATCAATCATCTGTCCAATCTGGTCGGACTCGTATACGGGCAAATATGCACATGCCCACACACACACGCACACACACACTAGTTTGGTCAAGGGCGGACCAGTGGTGTTGTTTCACAGGGGAAGCAGGGTGCTGATAACGGATCTCCACGCTCTTTATCTGATCCCTCACACACTCACACACACACACACAGTCATACAAGCCTGTATCCACATGCAGGGTTTCACCGTCCTCTCTCATCAGCTGTTGTGCATGACCTCGACCACACACAGAGTTAAACGGGTTAGTGCTGCAAGGCAAGAAAGTCCCAACACCCCCCATACACACAAACACATACACGCACACACACACACCTATAGCCTTGCCAACATAATTACATCCAATCTGCAGAACACTTTTGGGGCTAGCCGAGATATCGTTGGGTATTTTTGGGTGACTGACGAGCTAACCGGCTCCACAGGGCTTACATTACTGCATTGCTATTTCTGTCCACGTCTGTACGCACTGTGTACATGCGTGTCTCTCCTCTGTGATAGAGGCTACCTCGGCAGAAGAGGGGGGGGGATCTTGAAACCGAGGTACTTTTTAGAACACCAAAGCTAAAAAAATCCGCACACACACACCAGAACCGCAGCGCTTGGCACCAAAACTCGGCCCATAAATGTCCAAGTCACTTTTTCCTTGCTCAGCAAATCCTATGTAGAAAATGCTACAAAGGGAGGGAGAGTAAATAAAGAGGGAAATAATAATAATAATAAAAGAGCAGAAAGGAGGAGAGTGGGGGGAGAGGGGCAGAATATAAACCTTAACTGAACAGGGCAGGAGCCCTGAGCAATTAGCAATGACATCATGTTTCTACATGCGCACACACACATACATACACAAACACACACACCAACACACTGCAGACGAGGCCAGGCCAGGATGAAGAGCAAGCCTGCGGGGCGAGGAGGCTGGACGGAGAGGGAGTGAGGAAGGGAGGGAGAGAAGATGACAGTGCACCATTTCAACTCCGGTGGTGCGTTCAGTGACACATTTACAGAGTAAACCCTGTAAAGCCACCACAACCGCTGCCCAAAAAACAGCAGGTGCTAGCTGTTTACAGTATTGTGTAGCACTAAATAGGGTTGCATTCATTATGCTTTTTTTTTTAACGCATGCAAAACAAGGTGTCACCTGGAGAGAAACCCTAGTGGTGCACTCGAGCGGAACCAGACGGTTCCCTCGCTAATTCATGTTATTGTCAATAACTTAAGTGTTCCGTCTCCCTACACAGAGACACACGCAGTATGTACTACGTTAACGGTTCCACTCGTCCTTGCACCCTTCACTACAACATACCCGGTTCTTGTGGAAGTTACTGAGAAATTTAAAAACCGTAAAGTTATCCACAACATTCTCTAGACATAAACACGACATTAAGTGGCTGCGTGTATTTTTCTTCTTCCTCTTCTTTTTAAACAAACAAGGCATGTTATCTCGAGGGCCTGGCAGAAACTTGCAAAGCAAGGCTGGAAACGATTAGCTAGCTCGCCGCGTCCAGCCAGTCAGCACCATGCACCAACACAAGCCTCGTGTCGGCCTGTAGCCCCCAGACTATTCCACCTAAGTCATGAGAACACCCTCCGTCATGCTGGGTTGTGTCTCAATGAACCTCTTTAATACTCAAATGGTTGCTCAGCACGGAGACCCGCACGGGGGCCAGACACAGGACAAGCCGCGGAGCATCTCTGAACGAGATGCCTAGAGAGGACAGGGTGAACCGTCCTGTCAGGCTCAGACGGTTTGTCGACTTTTATTAGTCGACTCACAGAAAACTAATGACAATCAATTTTGATTATCCATTTTCTTTTTTCACCCTAACTTCTCACATTTTAAGGGGTTTAATGATTTTCACTATTTTATATAACTGAAATTGCAGTATCTTTCGGTTTTGGTCTGACAATCAATGAACACAACCAATTTTACTTTTTTTTTTTTATCAATTAGACATTATGACAGGTAGCTACTGTATATGAAGGTGTTGATGGTTAGACGTGTAATGAAACGATTTCTATTTAGTCTGCTTGATTAACTTCTGGTGAAGTAGCTAGTAGTTAGTTTATTACTTACTACTACTTACCAGCAGATAGGCCCTTCACATAACACAGTTTAAGAATCTCGAGCTTTCACAAATGTCACTGTACAGCTCTGTTGTTTCCATACATTAGAATCCCAACATAGCGGTGGACTTGTAGTTAGCTAACCTTGTAGTAGCCGTGGTCAACGGCTGGCCGCTCGCGACAACGTTCCAACAACGGCCGTTCTCACAGAACAACCGTCGCATTCCACGACACTACGTGACAACTCGGTCGCCAAAATATTCCAAGCATTAACTAAAAAAGGTACACACGCGCTGGGTCCTGTTAATACCCCCATCTGCCGCCGCAGCCTCTCGGTATCCTCCCCCCCCACCATCCCGACTCGTTCGCAACACAGCAGGGCCCTTCAGACGCCAAAGCAATGCGTCGCGTCGGGAAGAATATGGAAAGTTAAACTCACGTTTCCACTCCAATTCAAGGCGGGGGACGACTGCGACCACAACAGCTCCCCGTGTTCGAGCTGAAATTGTCGGCATACCACACCGCTCACCTCCTCTCCACAGTCCGCTGCGCTCCTGTCTGTGTGTCTCTCCTCCCCTCCGTTTTCTCTCGGCTTGTTCCTTTTCTCCTCCCTCCCAGATGCCGCTGTTCTCCGACAGGGGGAACCGGGGGACGCTGCTCCGGAAGCAAACGCTCCTCTGAGTTTTTTTCTAACTCCCTTTACTGCCTGCTGCTAATGTACTTCATCTTCTAGTGGTGCTAAAAAATAATAATTTAATGTAAGTAATCAAAGAGAATGAAGGACATTTGCAAAATATTTAGAAAATTTAGAATTCTTTAACAGTCTAGATGATGATTAAATAACAAAATAGAGATAGAAAACGTCATTAATCCCAATGCAGACCAGATAGATAGTAACGGGTTACAAATGAGTTATAAAGCCTATTAATAGCAGATAGGTTACAAATCCATAAACAATACCTTACCTCGGAGCAGTGTGTATAAATATATGTTCAAAATCAAGAGAGCGTTTTCCTGGTAGATCAAAGTGACCCACTATATAGCTGTATTTAAAATATATTCTTCCAGATACAGTTGTATGCGAGTATAATAATTGCAATCAAGCAAAATGTGACAATAACATTGATATTATATGAACAAATAACTATAAATATGATATCAATATGTGATATACAGATATTTAGGCTAATATATAAACACAAGATAACAGAATACAGTCAACTTACAGTAGCAGTAGAACACGCAGCAGCATTGCAATGATAAGACACAATGTAGAAACATAATGTTGCTGTTGTAGTTTTATTTTGAACAAAATATTGTTAATTAGAAAAGTCAGGAACAATCAGTGTGGTCGGACGGGAGATTGAAATGTCTTCCAAAACATCAAAGGATTCACACTCTCAATGTGATAACTGACAAACCCAAAGTCAGCGCAGATACAGACACTATAATTAGTTTGTAACATTATTAAATAACAGCGTTATCTAATAATGATAATATTAATGTAAAGAGTAATTAGTAATACATTTATGGATGATAAAGCAACATTCATATCCGATTTCCCCAATGAAATGAGCACATCTGTTGTTTGGGTGAAATTAGATTTAACAGGATTCGCTGCTCAGCAATAAAGGCTGAAATTAATTAATGTGTTGTTCAGTTACTCCCTTTCATAAAGGAACTTAAAGTGAAGACTTTAAACCTGGTAGTATTCAAGTCTCAAAGGGCTGGACTGGATGCATTGTGTGCACTTTATGATAAATATCTTTCCTGCCCTCTCCTTGCTGAAAACAAGAGTTGCATCACATCTCATCAGGCCGAACACTTTAAAGGCGTATGGTATTTTATTACGTGTGCCTATATGAGACAGGGATTTGGTGAGGCCTTTGAGCTTCTTTCAAGTCTGCTCTAGATGATTTTCATATACAGAAATGAACAGGAAGCAATTGGTGCCTGGAAGGTGAGGCGAGGGATTAAACTAATCGTACAACACTTTGCTTTGACCACATAATTGGCAACACTCTATGGGCTGCATGATTTGTAATTAACCGCTTAAAAGTGCAGAAACCACAAAGTAATGACCCTTTAGAAACGTGTGGAAATCTGAAAGGACAGAGTCCAGTTTGGACGGAGGGTGAAGAGGTCTAGCACGGTGTATGTGCACGGTGGTGCATTACACAAGCAGCAGCACGTGCATTTAAAAAACACATCACAGATTACTTTTTTTTAAAGTCGAAACATTAAAGGAAATATGAATTCTGATTCTGATTCTGAAATGGAAAGTGGTACAGACATTTGTCATCCTTATGATGAATCCTAGTGACCTCTAAAACTAGCCACCACATTTCTGTTAGCCGTCCTTGCTAATATATGCATGCTAATGTAATTTTACATTACAGTCTCGTGGGGCCAATAAGATTCATGAAAACTGGCGTTAGAGGTAGCCCTGTTTCATTTCTGATGCAATTGCCCACTCATACAGTAAAGGGCAGTACAGTTTAATAAAATGGTGACACCTGGTGGTTAGACGTAAGTACTGCATTGTCTATTGTGGTCAGGCTGTGTGTCAGAGGAATACATTCACACTATTGGCCACATAAATGTGTTCCCCTTTGTGTCGAATTTGAGTCCCTATTGTAGAGCACTAACTAAAATAACTATTGGCTAAACAACATTTTAGGCCTACTACTTCAACTTCATACACTAATAAGAGATGCTGTTCCGTCCTCTCTCCTTCATAATCCAAATTGTAACTACTCCAATCCGCCAGGTGGCGCTGTGCTAATATCCTCACCGGCTTTTGACCAATCATCGGTGCCCAGCAGTTTGAACAAGAAGCGGGTGCAGCGGATTCTCGTTCCTTCGGGATAATAATGAAAAAGATACAAAAAAAACGGAATATATAACGGAATTAATCATGGAATGGTTTAAACAGCTACTTAAATAGTGTCTCATTGAGTTTTGTCGATCAGTGTTGTTTAGGCGTTTATATAGTTAGCAAAAGGTTGAGCTACCTGGCTAAACTTGACTCTCAAATGTTAACGTTGGTCTCATCTGGGTTAGTAACGTTAGCTAAATGCGCTTGAACACTCGTCGACATAATATAAATTTGGATTAATGGCACCGTTACGTCTGTAATTTCAAGTATGAAGCCTTTAAAGCCGTTATTTTTGAAGACGTACGGCAAGGAGAGGCGAAAGCTGTCCGCCTGGATCTCCCCAGAGAACCGTAACCAGGCCTTCGACAGCACGCGCTCAACAGACGGCGACAGCTCCGTGTTTGAACCCGCAAAACCTACGAGGAAGAGGTACGTTCACGAGCCACGGTAGTCAGGAAGGGCGTCACACGTTTAGGTTTAAGGCTGAATACTTGAGTTTTAATGGCTTTCTTCAAGTCAGACTCTACCTAACCTGACCCACATCAGAATACAAGGTTTCTGACTGTGTTTTGTTACACAGATGTGAACATTCGGCTAAAAACAAGGACAACAAATGTCAACATAAACGTTTGACTACTAAAAATATTAGAGTACTATGTACAGACATACAAATAGTTGTTAAAATAGTGTCTTTATATTCTATGAAATGTGTAAACTGCAATAGAGTTGCGCAAGAGTGCAATTTGAAATAGATATTGTAGCCGGTTGCTAACATGAGAATGGTGGATAATGACGGTGTGTACAGCAATGTTGATAGTGATGATATAGATATGTTTAATAGTTTCAAACGATGAAATATGATTTACTGTTAAAGTGGGGATTCACCTGGCACTAGTATGGACTGATGTTCACGCAGATTTATTTTGCTTATCACAGATATGTCGATACACATATATCAGTTGATATTGCTCATACTGTGTGTCAGCGTCAGCTGATAATACACACATAACTGCAGTGCAGGCATGTCATTTATTAACACTCCAGCTCAGTCCTTTACCAACCAGATTTAATGCGTGTTTCTGCCAAGCGATGATTTAAAAAAAGAAGAGAAATTTGCCAATATATGATGATCTAATCTATTTTTGAATCATAGTTTTAAAATTATTTTTCTAACCTATGTTCTCTCATGTTGGATATCACATCCTCTCTGCCCCTAACTGACGTGTTGATTTTCTCGTCACAGAGAGAGGACCAGCGTTGCCAGTCCTAGAAGGAGCCGTCCTGCCAAGAAGAAGGCCATGCTGTGTCTGGCTGAGAGGAGCTGTGACGAGGAGAACGCACCCTCTCCTTCCTGTCCTCAGCCTGCTCAGCAGAGCAAGACCACCAGGTCTGTGAACAAACATGCAGCTGGCAATTTTGAGGATGTCATTATTTCATTAATAGGCATTTTGTTACAAGAAAACTGTTGATATTTCACCAATTTTAGATTCTTACCATGCCAGTTACTTAGGAATCGGATTTCATTACACTACAAGGTTTTATGATATTTCGTGCACCGCAGCATAGACAAAAGATCTTGAGTTTCTTTGCGCCATTTAAAGTCCTAGTATTCAGTTTTTTTTCCTGACCCACTTGCTCAATGCCCTCTCTTGCTCATCAGTTGGTCTTAATCTTCTTTTTTTTATTGTCAGAGTGAAGAAGACTAGTGTCGCCAGTGGTCGGGCAGTGCGTCCTGCCAAGGGAAAAGCGCTGTTATGTCTGATGGACACCACCAGTGATGAGGGGACCATCAGCAGGACCTCTCCTCCCCGCCGTCAGCCCGCCCAGCAGAGCAGTACAGCCAGGTGTGTGCTCGGAGCAGAACACATTATGTAAACATAAAGGGCTGTCAGCATGTACAGCGAATTGTGGTTCTATTTTTTTTTGACATTACTGGTAATAACAGAGGACTTTCAAGCAGATCCAACTGTTTTCTTCAGTTTTTACAATACCCACCATTCATTGTGAATGCAACAGTTTTGGATCTCGGATCTAGGGCTGCCATTTAAAAGCAATATCAAATGTCAATGCCTTTAAATCACATTTGTCTTCAGTTCAAATGAAGAGAGATAAAAAGTAAGTCTTCAGCCAGTCAGTCTTTTGATCCCCTCATTAATCAGCTGAAGAGTATCTGCCACCTAAGGCTGCGTTCAGATCAGGTTCGGCTCTGTATGAAAAAATAAGCAGATCACTCATTCATTTGAACCAGGCGGCAACCTCTGGTTCTGAAAAGTGAAGCAAATGCGGAAGTGTCTTACACCTGCATTCTCTCTACTGACCATCAGGGGGCGACTCCTCTGTTTGCAAAAAAAAAGGTCAGATTGTATATAAGTCTATGAGAAAATGTCTCTACTTCTCTCTTGATTTATTACCTCAGTAAACATTGTAAACATGAGTTTATGGTCTCAATCTCTAGTTTCAAGTCTTCTTCAATACAGCATGATGTTCATTTAGTAAAGTATGGTCCATTTAGAGTCAAATAGACCATAAAGTGGAGTATGCTTTAGGGTGGGGCTACCTTGTGATTGACAGGCCGCTGCCGGTACCAGAGCCGTCGACGGCATCTCTACGTCACTTCTCCTCAGTCCAAATATGGTCACATCCGTTCACTGGTTGCAAAAAACCAAGATTGGGATGGCCAAAATACCCAACTCAAAGCTTCAAAACGCAGTCCACAAACTAATGGGTGACGTGGCGACTGTGGCTAAGTGGATAGCATGGCCGTCCTTCAATCAGAAGATCGGTGGTTCGATCCTCGGGTTGAATGTTGATGTGTCCTTGAGCAAGACACTCAAACCCAAAATTGCTCCTGTCGCTGTGCCTACGGTGTAGAAATGTGATATAATCTGAATTGTAAGTCGCTTTGGATAAAAGCATCTGCTAAATGACTGTAATGTAATGTAATGATGTCACGATGACTACGTCCACTTCTTATATACGAACAATGGTTTGAACCAGAGGGCAGCTGCTTTTTTAAGTTTAACTTGGCTCAACTTGCTGCATTGCAACATCATTAGACAAGAGGCTGCTTCGGCTTATTGAAAACATGCAAGGTTACTACATTCATGTAGTCATTAGCTAATGTAGTCATTAGCTTTCTTCCTCCTTTTTTCTGTTTCCTTTAGTGGTCATCTTCCTTCTGCGGGCCGCTTTGTAACCCGCCGCAGACGTGCTGCTACCACCAAACCCAAACTCCCCAAATCATCTAACAACACACTCAACTCTTCAGAAGACTTTACATCCAGGGCTTTCGGTTCCAGGAGAATTGTTCAGCCCACCAGGAGAAGGGCCCCCCTAGCGTTTTTGGTGTCGAGTGCGGAGAATTCGGTGAACACTGCGGGGGTAGCCGGCTTTGCCACCAACCCTTGCCAAGAGATTTCCCTCAACGAGTTGACGGATCACAGTCTCGGGCCCTACCCCAGGAAACCCATCTATTGCTCCACCCCCTCGGCGGGCTCCTTCAGCCAACGGCCACGCCTTAAACCCCCGTCCTACAACGACCAATCCTCCAGCCCGCCATCCATGTCTGTGAGTTGCATAGGTGTCTTGAGCACATTCCAAGAAGACGTGGATTTGCCAGGGCAGCCCGGCTCCCCATCACTTTCTGCACCACCCAGCTGGCTTCGTTCTGAGGAGAAGCTGCGGTCGTGCGTCAGTGAGCAAGAGCCAGGCCTGCATCGCCACAAAGACCTCTCCGGTGATTTGTTTATGGAGCCCACGAGCTCCAACAAGAGACGTCACTGCAGCGAGGAAGACACAAGAACCAAGAATGTCGGGGGGTCGCCAAGTGTGATTCTGCTCTCGACAGAAGGTGAACGCAGCAGTCGTTTCGTGTCGGCAGCAGCAGGGTTAGAGTGGCTTACAGATGCTCTGAAGGAGAGGTGTCTGACCCAGAGCTGCACCGCGCAGCTGGAACGGTTGGACAAGCTCGCCATGTCGCAGCTATGCGGCAAAACGGCCTACTCTTCCTGTTTGGGACTTTCAAGCTCAGCTGAAATCCCGCAGTCTTCCGAACCATTTCGTCTCCATTTATCTGTGAGCAACAGTAAAATCCATGATTGTGTAGACTCAGTAAATAGTTTAGAGTCTTCTGAACACGCGGCTTCGGTGACTGACGGTCAAAGCATGAATGCCTCACTATCAGCCGAACACTCGCGCACACAGGAATCCATGGAGCAGTCGGCATCAGTACTTTATGTTAAATCTACCCACCACAACGACTGCAGCGTTGAGTTTGTCATGGGCGCACATTTACCAGCTGACAAGTCGATTAGCAGCAGCTCTGTGCAAACACCGTCTGCTGTAGCAGTTAAGGGCGAACGTCTTTCTAAGAACTGCACAGTTCAGCTCCAAAAAATGACTTTGTCCCACGCAAACATGTCCGAAGATGACCATACACATAACTCGGAAGACCCAGAAGACGTCATACTTTCAGGAGAAATCACAGAGAGAATGACGTTGTCAACAAACACCAGTGGTCTGGCGGTGCAGACACGGTCTAATCACGCAGAAACAGGGGGAAAGGCAGCGGCGCTCGCGACGATGCTGAAGGAGAAATGTCTAAATGACAAAGTCCTCGTTGAGGTGAAGAGAGTAACTCCGTCACAGCTGAAGGAAATTCTGCATTTCAAAGACGCCGCACTCAAATCCCCCACAGACGGGCCGGGCTCGGCCGGCGACCACCAGCCTGAGAGTGATGCCAATTGCCGCAGCAAAGAAACTTCTGTCTACATCGCAAAGAGACTCTCAACTAGCTCCAGAGACGAGATCGCCGAAGAAGAAGCAAAGAGCTCCTGCCACGTTCCCCGCAAAGGAAAAAAAAAGACACATCCAGCTGCTAAAGAAAAGAAGACCAGGAGGAGCACGTCGACGGACCGGCCCGGGACGACCAGGAAGGTGTGTGTGAGCGGTCTGAGCGTGAGCCGCTGGAAGAACAATGGCAGCACAAGCGCGTTCAGGAGCAGGGCAGCGGACTGCAGCATCACCGAGCTCATCTCCACACAACACACACAGCCACGGGTGAGAACAGCATGCACACAAACACGTTCACTCACTTTCGACACATTAATTGACCGTTTTGGTTATTGACAAAAGAAAAAGAATTGAACAGAAAAGGTGTTTCAGTTCACCTGTAGGCTTTAACAATGTGGTTGTGGCAAATTCAATCAGCAGGGTCCCTATTCATCTTTTCAGGTGGCGGTATTTCTTTATATGCATATTCCTGATAAAGAGGACATTTATCATCACTTTGATGTTTCGTCCTGTGGCTTTCTGCAGGTTTTATGGTGAAAATACATGTTTAAACACCAACTGATTTATCAAATATGTGTTTTCTTAGACAATACTGAAAGACTTATTGTACGTACCTGTAAAGAGTAGAATAAGTCATCAGTGATTTTTACACATGTGCATTTGATGTGATGCCGTAATCAGATTTTTGGTTTAAGGTGGGTATTGTTTTGTGCTTGTACTTCAACTGCAATTGAATGTTAATAGCTTGGGGGGCGGCGGCATGTAAAGAGACGGGTGGAGCTGTGGCGTTGTTGACAAACTGTGCTATCTGTCCCATGTGTAGGAGTGTCTGGGGGGTGCCATGACTTTCTCCACTCCGCTGAAAGCCAGTCGCCTCAACCTGTCGTCTCTGCTGGCTGACCTGACGCCCAACACACACACCTGGAGTCGGCTCAAGGCCGCCCTCTCTGTTCATCGCAAGAACAAGGGTAACGCACACACGTGCACATTTACGTTGTTATTCGGTTCGGTTCAATACAATACAGTGGTGCCACGGTTCGGTACGTTTTCAATACAGCAAAATTCTTTCTCCTCAGTGCTAGTCACTCCAAGCAGTTTACGTCCGGCGGCGCCAGGCTCATCTCGACGAGCGATGTTGACCGACGTCAGTCAGGACCTCTTTGCCACACCCTTTCGAACGCCGCTCAACAAACGCCTGCGGCCAGAGCTGCTGAGCACCAATTCCCCGGTACAGTACAAACACACACACACACACATAAGAGTCCCGATTTTCAGCGTTTGGCGTTTGGCTGTTTGAATAAGTTGTTACACGTCTTCTCCCTCATGTCTTGTTGCCACAGGTTGCGTGTGAGGATGTGGATCTGTCAGACGTAGAGAAGGTGTGTGCTGAGTGTGGCCAGCCGCGCCCTCTGCCGTGGGAGGAGTGCGTTCTCCCTCAACGTATGAAAATGTGTGTGAAGGTAGGCGAGGGGACGTTCGGTGAGGTCTTCTCCACCACCAACGCCTCAGGAGCCATTGTAGCACTCAAAGTATGTATGTTTTCATCAATGTGTGTGTTTGTGTGCATTACTTTGTGTGTTAGGCTAGGTTGCAATTTCAGAAATGTTTGTGACATAATATTACAAACTCAAGGTTCACTTACTGGCGTTTTCCGGAGCTTTTGACTGCATTTCTTGTTCGCCTTCAGTGAATGAGCTCAGGTGTCATCTCATGACCTACGTGCGGTCACATGATGGCAAACGGTTGACGACATCTGAGTGTACGTCATTTGCTGAAGAAGGCTGTGGGAAACGCTCTGAAGCTCCAGGGGGCAAAACCCAGCGAGCGCTCCTTGAGTTATTTTATCACGTGTTTGGGTTTCCCGGGAAAAGAGTAATACAAAAAAAGAATATTAAATATTTGCTATAGAAGTTTAATGAAAATATATGAGCGTCTGTGTATTGTGCTTCTAAACAGTGGCTCTTGTCTTGGCAGATCATTCCAGTAGAGGGCAGCGAGAAGGTGAACGGAGAGGACCAGAAGACCTTCGGAGAGATTCTCCATGAGATAATTATCTCAAAGTGAGTAGTACGTGGAGTAGTTTTGCTGGGATCCATAATATAAGGGGGAGCGGAGTCATAAGGTCTGAATGTTTCAGTTAAGTGAAACCCAATGATGGGGAACGGTGTGTGTGTGTGTGTGTGTGTGTGTGTGTGTGTGTGTGTGTGTGTGTGTGTGTGTGTGTTTCTGTTTCTGCCAGGGAGCTGAGCAGCCTCAAAGAGAAGCAGCAGAACAAGACTCACGGATTTATCGGCCTCAACGAGTAAGGACTCTCTGGTTTCCTGTTTTTCGTCCGTTAGCGCCTCAGTGGGTTTGTTAATGTGACTCGAATTGTTCCCTCACAGACTCCACTGCGTTCAGGGCCGCTACCCTCCAGAGTTCCTGAATGCTTGGGACATCTTCGACCAGCAGAAAGGCTCCGAGAATGACCGACCAGGTCAGTGAGAGGAAAGCCTGGTCCCGTATGTCAACATGTCTTTTAGGTTGCAGCGGCTGAAGGAACTCGACTATTCGGGTCTGAAAAGAGAAGCCCACGCAGAAGTGCTTTAAACTATCATTCTCTCTTCTGGCTCCTCTGGTTGTAAAAAGAAGTCAGATTGTATAGAAGTCTATGAGAAAATGACTCTACTTCTCTCTTGATTTATTACCTCAGTAAACATTGTAAACATGAGTTTATGGTCTCAATCTCTAGTTTCAAGTCTTCTTCAATACAGCAAGATGTTCATTTAGTAAATGATGGTCCATTTAGAGTCAAATAGAACATAAAGCAGGGTATGCTTTAGGGCGGGGCTACTTTGTGACTGACAGGTTACTAACACCGGTCTGGGAGTTGTTATTTGGTCCCTCCCCTTGGTTACTGTTGCTAGGCCTGTCAAGCTTTCCCACCCAGAATTTCAATATGGCATGTGAGCGATATCGGTGAGAGATATTCCAAAGGAGATCATAGCAGATTTCTGGATTAATTGTTGTGAACTATCAGAGAGAAGTAGACGGTAAATACTACAATATACATCTGAGAGGAAACATTACTTCCACAATGTAATCTGTTGGTGGAGTTCAGCGTTCGGTTGTACTTGGTTCCACTCTCTCGTGTCACTTCTAGTTGCTAAAAACAAAACAAAATGATGTCAGGCAAAATGTTGAACTCAAACTTCAAAATGGCCGTCCACAAACCAACGTGCAGCGGTACGCTGACTGAGCCCACTCCTAATATACAGTGTATGCTTTCACGGCATGGTCCGCCTTAACAGGGGACAAAAGTCTCAATAGGATCAGGTCTGTCTATTTCATCAGGTCTCTCTCTCTCGCTCTCTCTCTCTCTGCTTAGACTTCTTCCAAACGGATCAGTTATTCATAATCCTGGAGTTCGAGTTCGGAGGCGCCGACCTAGAGAACAGCAATGGAGCGGTAGGCACGCTGCATCAGCAGAAACTCTCACTGCTGTAGCCAGAGATTCAAGCACTCTTCCCTCAAATAGAACACTCTGCTCTCATCACACCAGATGTAGCTCATTACACTAGTACACCAGCTGTAATGTGCTCAAACATTAATAAAGACACTGCATTACAACTTCAAGTTAAATATGCATGCCGAAGGAACTGCTGAAAGATTGAAGATGCTGAGCATCTGAAAGAAATGCTTAACTTCATACAGTATTATGTATATGAAAAGCTGTATTTGATCTCAGTTTTCATTGTGGCCTGAGAGTGCATGTGGGGTCTTTAATTCAAGTCTTCATTGTGTCGTCAAGCTGGCGTCTTTGGCGGTGGCCAAGAGCATCCTTCATCAGGTCACTGCTGCCTTGGCTGTTGCTGAGCAGGAGCTACACTTTGAACACAGGTAGAGTGTGTACACACACACACACACACACACACACATATAGACATTATAGCACATGTAATGTCTGCGTGCATCAGGCCTTGGGCACACCGAGCAGGACGAGACACAGTGTTTAATATACAGTCTATGAAAGTCCAAAGTGATGCATTCAAATGTCTTATTTTGTCCGACCTAAAGTCCAAAATGCATATGTCGGTTTACTGTCATAAAAGATGTAGAAAACCAGCAAATGTGCACGTTAGAGAAGATGTAACTGGAATAGTTTTTGCTTAAAAAGTGACCAAAACAATGAAACAGTTTGTTCAAAAGTTTGCTGAATATGTTTTTATGTCGTTCGACTAATTGATTAATGACCAACATTTGTAACTGTTCGTGACACAAAGCTCATAATGACCCCCACTTGATTTCTGATTTTAATGGATCCACGAAGCAATCAAATCAAATTGATTCACGAGATTGTGTCACCATAACTTTTTATTACGACTGAACGATGATTTGATTGATTGATTGAGAGTAGAAGGTAGCTCACGCCACTCAACCAGATATGATTTGTGAAACGTCCAATGACAAGCGAACTGTCCTTTTAGTTGGACACATTCCTTTTGATGCCTCTGTTGACTGCAGGGACCTCCACTGGGGCAACGTGCTGGTCAAAACCACCAAGCAGAAGAAGGGGAGCTTCTTCCTGAATGGAACAGCCCACTCTCTGGACACCAAAGGAGTGCTGGTCCGCATCATCGACTACTCTCTCTCCAGACTGGAAATCGGTGAGATATTTTTCGCCTCCCTCTCGTCAGACTTTGTGCCCTGTTATAACGCTGAAAAGTAATAATAATAATATATACGATGATACTAATGGTATTCTAATATTTTGCTCTTTCCAGATGGTCTGACGGTGTCCTGTGATATCTCCAATGACGAGGAGCTCTTCATGGGCCGGGGAGATTACCAGTTCGATATCTACAGACTGATGAGACAGGAGAATGGGTCAGTGTCTGTTCCAGAGTCAGATTTGTGAATCCCTCTGTGTGCATTAATATTGAGGCTGATCTTGACCCGATAGCCATGTAACTGGAGTCTCTGTTCTGTGAAGGAGTCACAATACACATATAAAAAGAACTAGATCTTCTTCTACACGTGTAATGACGGATTGAATGTGGAGTGTAACGGAGCCAAAAACTGTTTTCTTATTGATTTGACTTCGGCTCAGTCAACATGTCAAGAAGTACAAGTCAGCTGTTTAGTAAGGAAATTCTAAACGCTCAGTAAACAATGTAAACATGAGTTCATGGTCTCAATCTCTAGTTTCAAGTCTTCTTCAAAACAGCATGATGTTCACTTAGTAAATTATGGTCCATTTAGAGTCAAACAGACCATAAAGCAGGGTATGCTTTAGGGCGGGACTACCTTGTGATTGGCAGGTCTCTACTAGAGACTTATACGACATCTGCATCACTCCCTTAAATGTTGAATTATTGCTGTAAACAGACTTCATCAGTCTCATTTCTTGTGTGTAATATATGTACGTATGCGTGTTAAAGTAGCATCTCTGACTTGTGAACACTGTGCTTGTCTCAGGAATAACTGGAGTAACTACCACCCCCACACCAACGTGCTGTGGCTCCACTACCTGTGCTCCAAGCTGCTCTCCATGAAGTACCGGGGCGTGGGAGGGAGGGGCATCAAGGGCATGCGAAAGGAGCTCACTGGCTTCCATGACAACGTCCTCCAGTACGGCTCTGCCACCGAGGCGCTGCAGACCTGCCCCATGTTTCAGTAGTCTGATAGCGTCTGCCTCCATCATCCATGTCAAGACTGTTAGTGATCTCCTTTAATGTACAGTGTTTACAAAGGTTATTAAAATAACCCTTTGGAAATGATGTATTCATGTGTCTTACATTTTATATTTTCAAGCTTCTTTAATGCCTGTTCTTGCATTAGCTGCACATTTTTTAAAATAACTGTTTAAGTTATTTAAATACTGTATATATGCAGAAAACAAAGTCTTACTCAATAAATTCTTTACCTGGTTTTTACCCCAATCTAAAAGTGGTATTGAGATCCCGATTTTAGCAACTCTAGACTAGTACCGAAGTGATTTGTTGATTTATAATAAGTCTATAGACAGAAATTAATTTCCAACGGTTATTAAAATAACATTTATTCAAAATCATTCAAATTGATTATAAACCAAAAAATGCTAAAAGCTCTCTAGGTACTGTTTTTTTTGTCTTTGTTGATCAAGGAATTTGAAGACATTTAATAGACTAATATATATATATATATATATATATATATATATATATATAGTATATATAAATGGATAGAACTAAATATAAATAAATAATCATCAGTTACAGCCACACAAGACTCCAGATGATCTGCAGAATCAGATCTCAAAATGTCCTGTTTGTAGCCTAATCTACAGTTCTGTGTTCTAACTTTTTGTTCTAATTAGACAAACACCTGGAGACACTTCACACTGGTGTATTCGGACATTGGACAATCCAAATGCACAGCACTGCTTTATGGACATTAGAGCGTGAGCAACATGTCAGCAGGTATTGGTGTACATACTGTGTGTTGACCAATAAGAAAGATATGAATGTTAAACTGTATCATTGTTTTGTTTTTTTTTAAATCTAAAATATCTATTAATATCTGCATCAGTCTGGCTATAATGGTAATTTGGGATTTTTACTTGATTTTTTGCATTGGTTGCATTTTGCTCAGGTATTTGATTTGCTGAATTAGCCAAAACAGACATGCCCAACTGGTTATATCATCACTATGTGATATAAAATGACACTGTGATGGAGGACTTCATGCCCATCACCCACGTGTAATACATTCCACGAGCCACCTATAATTCATACCGATGTGTCCTTGAGCAAGACACTTAACCCCAAAATTGCTCCCGCAGCTGTGCCTACGGTGTGACAGGATCTGAATTGAAAGTTGCTTTGGATAAAAGCGTCTGCTAAATGACTGTAATATAATGTAACATAATGTAATACCTACGATGTATTCTGGGTCTTTCCTGCGGCGGTGTACAAAGAAGAAGCCAGTACAAAAACAAAATATTTTATATAATTTGTTCATCAAGATTATCATACATTTTTGCATTGAGACAAGCTTCATTTTGGTACGGTGAGTGGCGAGTGTCCGTCTTGACGAGGATCTTGAGTGAATACGTCGAATGCTTCCATACTCGGAGAGACACCCGGTTGCTGATTTTCAAGAAAGGGATGTTCTCCTGGAATAATCGCATGGTGGAGATTGGAGCAAAGGTTGCATTTTAAAAAAAGGAAGACTGCTTTAATAAAAAACAACATATGGAGACATTCCAAACTATACAAACAAGATCCGGGCAGGCCTATGTTCCAGAGAAGAGGTCAGGCATGTGTTTGAGAAGCACTTTTTGGTTGAGCTTTGAGGCAATGTTTGGGATGGCCTTGCTGGTGATGAGCCCATATGTCTGTTGGTGTGTGTGTGTGTGTGTGCGTGTGCGTGTGTGTGTGTGGGACAAACGGATGTTTATAAGAAGCAATGAACTGTATATGAGGAAATGTACTTGCAGCTGCTGTGCGTGTGTTCATGTGCGTTTGTTTGTGCTCAGAAGGAGAAGTATTTGGTGAACCACTCCTGTTTCAGCCCATCTGTCCCCCTCTGCTCCAGGTACGGGCCCCTGCAAGACACAGAAGAAGAACACACACATTGGCTTCTTAAAATCGTATCTAATATGTCGCCATGCTATGGCTCTGAGTGTTGGGGCTGATTTTGAGACGCCACAGTCACCAAGACAGGTGTTTCAAATCAGGACAGTCAACTTGACAGGAATCAAAGGAAAGGTTGAAATCAAATTTCCATTTCCATGTATGTGCCTTAAATAAAAGACAATACTACTTCCCCAACCCAAATATATTTTTAGAAACCTGTATATGTTTTGATTTTTCTGTTTTGCTTATTGTTCTCCATTCATTTCACACAGTCACTTGAGTTGAGTTTATGGTCTTAATCTCTAGTCTCAAGTCTTCTTCAATACAGCATGATGTTCATTTAGTGAATTATGGTCCATTTAGAGTCAAATAGACCATAAAGCAGAGTATGCTTTAGGGCGGGGCTACCGTGTGATTGACAGGTGGCTACCACAGTTTTGTCCGGTCTGGGAGTTGTCCGTGTTTTCGTCTTACAACTTAAACCCGTTCATAGTGTATTCTCACTTCATGAACGTTTATTGCAATATTTTGATCACCTAAAAATTTTGGTTCGGTTGCACTTAGCTCCACCCTCTTGTGTCACTTCTGGTTACAAAAAAACAAGATGGCAACGGTCTAAAACAAAGATGGCGACGGCCAAAATGTTGAACTCGGACCGCTTCAAAGAAGTAGTCCACAAACAAGTGGGTGACGTCATGGTGACTATGCCCGCTTCTTATATACAGTCTATGATTTATAATTACATAGTTCCTATTTGAACCCTAAATATTGAATTGAACTATTTTTTTGTGAGGATATATTGTTTATATATGTAAATATTTTCTATTATGAGTTTGTATGTTTTTGGCTTCAGGTGACTGTGGTATCTTATCCAGAAGAAGGCAGTTTGCATAAATGTCGATCATTCATTGGAGTACTGAGTCTGTCCCGTTCCCTTCTTTTTACATTTGTAACATCACAGCCCAGACATAAGAAATGTACCTGATTGATTGGGCCTGCAGGTGTGCATGTGACTCCTGACAGGAGGGCGCCACGTAGCGGATGCCCGTCTGCGGCGAGGGGCAGACCGGGAGCGGGGCGGTGGGCGCCGGCGTGGGAGGGACGCAGGAGGTCCGGGATCTGGTGGAGCGAGGGAGGGAGGGGGAGGAATGCTGGCCGAGGGAGAGGGAGGTGTGCTTGTGTGGGAGGGAGGAGGTGGAGTAGTGGGGGGAGGTCTGCGGTTGGGAGGTGGACTGGTGGGGGAGGGTTGAGGAGGAGCGCTGATGGACAGGGGAGGAGGACGAGGATGAGGAGGATGACGGGGGTACGAAGGCGCTCCTGTCGTAGGTGCCGGCGTTGGGGATGCTGGTGACGTGAGGAGGAGACTCCACACGCTTCCTCTGTTGGGAGGACAGATTCACATACAGTCGTTTCTACGGGAATTTAATCAAAAGACAAGGCCGCTGATATTCTATATTCTCCTTCTCGTCAATAAACACCATGAATAAAACAAAACAAGGTATCAATTCTTCATGATGAACATGGGCAAGGTAGTTTACTTTACATACACTTTCCTGTTTCCGTAAATATTCACTAGGGCACAAAATATGTATTTATCCGCAGCTGAAAATAGGCCCCAACAAAGGCACTAATTACAATTGTTACACACCATTTGTTTTCTTTTTTAAATCAAACTATATATTTGAAGATATTTTAAAAGATTGATTTTAAAGTTTCAGTGAGGAACTTTGAACTGGTTGTGAACCAGTCTCAATTTGGGGTCGGATTCAGCACAACATCATGCAGGTTCACCAGAAACTCCTTCAGCTCTGATGCTGCCGGTCCCCGCTGGGAGCTAACACCGACACCACGCTGGCCATATTACTGGGCCCGCTGGAGAGAAGGGAGGCTCGGGAGAAACAAGAACTAGGACTGAGCGGAACAGACAGTCAAGACGCCTGCTGCATTAAAGTTAGAGTTTTGTTAAGGGGACTCTGGCGCTCGGAAACACTACCGTTTTTGTCCACAGGGGGCGCATAAATTGTCGCAAAATGAAATTCCATCTTAGCAGCTTTAAATATAGAACATCACCAACCTTATCTTTAATGAAGTGGATGCCTGGTTCCTCACATTCATCCAAACTAAGTGTAGTTGTTCTAAAACAGGCTTTTAGTGACTACCGTGTGTATATGATTAATCGAATTGCTTCTCAGGACATGCTACAGTTTATTTAATATGGAGCTCACACCATTTTAGCCACAGCTGCTCAGTGAGAGATGCACTGAGAAAGTCTGAATTTAAAATGATACTCTGCCCGAAATACTTAATAGCATGAGTATGAAACCATCACCCGCTGTACGCTGTGCAGCAGCTGTGGTCAGAATGAAATCATATCAGCCACAATATTATTCGAGAGAAGAAGTACATCTGGAGACACTGCTGCAGCATAATGAACTGTATGCTCACTACGTCTGGTTAAATGCACCACCTAAGAAAAGCTGGGGAGGTGTGCATTTAGCAGTAGCTTGTGATGCTTTCATCTTCTCTCCCACTCTCTGCGTTAACATTGAATACCCAAGCTGAACACAGCAGCCATTAGCTGTCAGGAATAAATCGCAAGGTGTTTCACAACCATCTTTCAAGTCTGCAGAAGGAGTGTGTTTGAAATGTAAAAAAAGATTTTGGGCGGAGTGTAATTTCAAATACAGTCAGTAGACATACGTGTGCTTAGATTTGCCAGCCCAGATGGTCTGTGGTAACCCATCCATAACTGATCCCATAATGAATGAAGGCAAGTTAAAGCACAGCAGAGCCTGCGCTCAGTTGTAGCCTAGAATCATGACATATGCAGCTGAGATGCTTTTTGTTTTTTCCATTGGAAAATAATAATAAATAAATATGTATGTATGTATTATTTTATATATATATATATTTTTTTTTTTTTCACATCATTTCACAAATTTTCCTTCTCCAAAATAAATCCTTCAAGGCTGTATTTTTACTGTGCAAGTTATTAGTTTATGACTTCTTCTCATTAATTGTCATTAAACGCAGCGAGGGCGTGAATAGGAAGTGTGTCAGTGGGAAGTTGGCTCTGGCCCAGTGAGCACTTCTGGCTGGAAGGAGGCTCCTTTTGATGAATACATTATGAACACATGCACTCACCCTCATGGTTGGCGTGACGCTCCCGGGGCGGGACTTGCTGTCGCGGGGCCTGAGGGTGCTGTTGTCCCCGGCAACCGGAGGGTGGAGCTGCAGCTGATGCCTCTCTTCCTGGAGGGAAGGAGGACGAGGAAGGACTTTCATTGGCCTCGTTCACAGTTGGTGTTGTTGTTGTATTGGAGTTGTGTCTGGAGGGGGCACTTGTTTCATACGCTGCCTCATGCCACACAGATGGCACACACAGCACTCTGGCAGAGGACACTTGGTCTCCACTAATGATTACTGAAGACACTGTTCTAGTTTGATTTGGTCCGAGTGGTCCAAGTTTTTCATTCACTCGTGGTCCCTTTGCTGTTAATTGGCTACAAGAATTTCTTCAGTTTCCAGTTTAGCAGGATGCAATGTCTTTATTGATCTCAACTCAAGGTTCACCTTATCGCCGGCTCTGGAGCTGTTGACCGTGTCACTCGGTTCTGAACTAACTCCTACTTTTTTCAAGGATTTTTTTGGGCCTTTTGCCTTCAGTGGATCGCAACAGTTAAGAGACAGACAGACGACACAGGGAGAGATAGTCCTGAAGGGACTCAAACCGGGGACATTGCAGTTACATGGCATGCGTCCTAACCACTGTGTCACCAGGACCCCCATGCTCCACATGAAGGGAATCCTAGAAGTGCTCAGATCAATGGAAACTGAGCTAATGGGGACTGCGTGATGTGATCAAAAGCTGCGCAACGAACGAGTAAGTGGACCTTGAGTTTAAGTCAAATGAAAGATATTACTGCTAAACTGGTAAACACGAGCTTCCTCAAACGAGGAAAACCGTGTGTTTCCAAAGTCAGAATGAACTATGGGCGATTTAAGAGTCATTTAGCAAGAAATATTTGAACAAAATACGTTCAAAAACAGTTCACAGATGTATTGTTTCATAAAAAAATTAAAAAAAATTAAAAAGACTACATATTCTACCAAAACATTAGCATTAGTTTAGAATATTTTCAGCCACAGATCTGGTGCTCTAGTGAGTGGCAGCAGGGCCGTAGATAAACTACAGCGCCCATTGTTCACCGTGATGTCGGAACATGTCCCCCAGTGCAATAATAATAGCAACAAAAAATATTTAAAAAATATTATATCAGACAACACTCGGAAATTTGTTGACAATAAGAATAACATAAAATATCACCAGACTAATCCTTTATCAGTTCCACAGGTTATTGTTAGAGTATGTAGCGTGTGTGTGTGTGTGTGTGAGTGTGTGTGTGTGCGTGCGCTCCCACCACTAATCGTTTAATGAGCTGGTCTCTCTCGGTCAGTCTCTCCTGGAGTCTCCCCAGCTGCAGGTCATCACATCGAGGCTCCCTCCTCCTGCACCGCTCCTCACGCTCGCGCAGTCTGCAGTTAAATCATATACACAAACACACACACACTTTTCTCACATACCCGCCCTTCATTTCCAAACTTGCTGCATTCCCTCTCCACCCCCCACCCCCCACAGTGCTCGTCTTGCCCTCTACTCACTCGTTCTCCAGGGCCACGATGCGAGCCTGCAGGTGCGTCTGGGCGCTGCTGTACTCGGACACCAAGCTCTGCATCTCCTTCTTGTGCTTCCTCCTGATCTCCTCCACCTCCTCTCTCCTCTTGTCCTCCTCGCGCTCCTTCTTCTTCTCCTCGTCCACCTCCTCTTCTTTCACGTCCTCCTCTCTCCTCTCCTCCCACTGTTTCTGCGACTCCTCCAGTTTCTCCATCTCCACCCGCAGCTTCTCCACCTCCTCCTTCAGGCGCTGTGCTTCCTCCTCCAGCTGGGCGTCCCTCTTCTTGCGCAAATCCACGACTTCCTCTTCTTTTTTCTCCTCGGCTTCGGGGTTCTCCTGCACGGACCTGATAAGACACGGTAGATACAAGGGACGGATGGAATTGTATAATACAATATAATAATTATGATAAAAAGGGATCTTAAAAATGGTTCATTTGTGCCACTTTTCTTTTACTGTACTACAGTATATATACTTTCTCTGTACTATGTACTAGTTTTCAAATAGACCAGTAAATAATAAAGCTCAACAAAATACACAAAAGAAGTGCAAATATGCCATTCATTGTCACATACTGCAGTGAACCTGTAAACTACGTTTAACCGAGAGATTATGTACATCCTTTTAGACACATTTTAAAAGATGAAAAACACAATTTCTTCAGTGGGAAATGATCTTAAATCTTTTGTCAACAATTAAGCAAGTCGTTAGCAGGGACCGCTGGAATTAAATCAAATGTAGCCAAATGACCCGGATATGAGATAAGGGATAGTTCTACATTTTAGGAAAATATGCTCCCTTGCAGAGAGTTGCACGACACCGAGATGGAAGCTAAGCTAACCCAGCTACGACCTGGGGCTACTACACTACCCAGCATGCTTCTGGCTGTCTGATGTTCGGTCGCAGGAAAATAAGATGGATGAAAAAAGACTTCAGGTCAACCCAGCGACGGGAGTTCGGTGACTATTGAGCCCACTTCTTCACAGAGACCTGGTTCCATCGGGACGTCCCGGATCAAGCTGCACTTGATGGGCGAACCGGCGGGACGAGAGGAGGTGGAGTCTGCGTTCACACCACGATGCTTGGTGCTCAAACATACTGAATGTTGATGGACAATGTTTTTCCTGATGTCTGCCACATTATCTGCCCAGAGAATTGTTTTTGTTGCTGCTGTTTACATTCCTTATGATGCAAATACCCGACAGGAATGTACTGCTGTTTTTGTTTTGTTTACAAATGGGCTACAACTGAATTTCTTTGTGCATCCCTGTGTTGCATAATGACAATAAATGGTCCTTGAATCCATGAATTTTACTCATACTGTCTGTCTGAATAAACCCTCTGATTGAAAAGCAGTTCAACGGAATTGCGTTGCTAGGCAACAGCTTGGATCCATGTTTACTGATGTTGTTCAAATGCACTGCAACCGGAAAAGAACTGGGACACATTTAGAGTGATTGCGTTAAAAACTGTTTCTGTTTCCATAGGTCTGGACCCAGGCAACTAAAACAGAGAGCTTCAGGAAGATGTTAAAAAATATATATCTTTAGATGGACAGCATGAGGAAAATAAAGAGTTTTTTTAAACATTGAAGCATGTAAACATATTCAAGTAGAAACCCAAAATACAAGTATAATCCTGAAAATGAGCATAATGTCATCTTTAACTAATCTAATCAAAAAGACTGCAAGCTGGCGAGGTTATGCTCAAAGATACAACTACAAGCAAATCCCTAATTAACACACTATACCAGCAGGGGTCATGTAGCTGTCCCGGCTAAATGTGTACCTTTGTGAGCTTTGGAGGTGTTAGCAGGTGTATTTTGTTACCTTTGGACGGAGCCAGTCCAGCTGATCTCCCCTTGTTTCCAGTTTTTGTGCTAAGCTAAGCTAAGCTAACGGGATGCTGGCTGCAGTTTCATATTTACCGTACAGTCAAGGGGGCATTGATAATCTCATCATACTATTCCTTTTAACGATTGCAACGATTAATCGATGCATGGATTAGTAAACCGACAGCGAAGTAATTGGCAACTACTTAATAATCGATTCATCATTTGAATTTGAATTTGTGAGTGAAATGTGAGGATTTGATGTTTTCACCGGATACCTTTGGTTTACCCTTGAACATCCCCTTGGGTTTTAAGGAAACTGGGGATTCTTTATTCACTATCGGCGGATGAACCAACAACGCAAACAATCGTTAGCCGTCGCAGTCCCATACTTCATATCATTAATGTCATAATTAATAACTCCACCGCTAACTTTCCTCACCTCTCCTTCAGTTGCTTCTTCAGTGCTGCGTTTTCTCTCTGTAGCTCCAGCATGGCACAGCGGCTCTCATCCAGCTGTCGCTCGAACACCTGATACTGGTTCTGCTGCTTCAGATCCTTCACACACACACACACACACACACACACACACACACACGCGCACACGCACACACACACACACACACACACACACACACACACACACACACACACACACACGTTGACAATATCTGCCTTCATTCTAAGATTCCCGAGAACGACAAAGACATCAGTTGTGAAATGGCTGCGATTTGCTCGTGTGCTCACATTTACATGTGTGTGTGTGTGTGTCAAAGAGACATTGTGTGTGTGTGTGTGTTACCTGTTGCAGGGCCATCATCTGTGTGTGTGCCTGCAGTTGAGCCTGCAGGTCTTCTATCTGCTGCATATGTCTCTGGGTCATCTGTCGGCTCCACTCCGTGTGCTGCTGTGTCAACTCTGCACGCTGCTTATCTGATACCACACACACACACACACACACACACACAAGCGAAAAAAAAACTAAAATCTATTTGGCCCACTGCTACAGGTACCCATCCGCTGTTGCCATGGTGACGTGTATCCATGGCGATAGCAACTCCACTGTTTAATTCATAACCTCAATGTGTGTATCGCTCTGTGTGTGTCATACGGAATGCGTTGCTGTCTGCCCGCTGCCTGTGTGTGTGTGTGTGAGTGTTCACGTGCACGTGTGCCATACCTAGCTCCAGGTGGTGCATCGTCTGCAGCCTGTTCCTCTCAGACAACACATCTTCCTTCGCCTGTCTTTCCAACGCCTGCAGGGCCTTGCCGTGGCTGTGCCTCTCCTCTCCTAAAGACTGGGTTTGGGGCTCCTCACACACACACCACACACACACACACACACACGCACACACACACACGCACACACACACGCACACACACACACAGTAGCACTTAGCCGCGCGTACATAGCACAGACACGTGCGCACTCTGATGGGATCACGTTACAATGCCTCTTCATCGTCAAAGCCACTCAATTATTCATCACAGAGAGAGGAAGACCTGTGAAAGATTTCAGGGTACCTGCAGCAGATCCCTCAGCTTCTTGTTGATCTCCTTGGTGTCCTGGACCTCCTTCCTCAGCCTGTCAATTTCGGGGTTGCCATGGCAATCGTCTCCGGGGCCCTCCTTCGTTTTCTCCGCCTGGCGAGAGAATGGTACGCGTACAGTAATCCTGAGATGATGAGTTTGCAATCAGGCCCGGAGTGAAGTGTGAGATGTACGGCTTTTGTTTGAGAATTTGCAGACTCTTGAAATAAATAAATGAATAGAAACGCAGACTTCATTGTGCGCTCAAGAACAGGCTTATGGAGCTAATTAAAAGAGCACTCCAGTGATTTAGTATTGCAACTGCCATTAAGTTGGTCAACCACTTCAACACTTTAACACTACATGTCATCATTCATACACTGATGACAGGGGCTACCATGCAAGGTGCCACCTGCCCGTCAGGACTATGTAACATTCACACACCATAGGCACAGCTACGGGAGCAATTTGGGGTTAAGTGTCTTGTCCAAGGACACATCGACATGGACTAGAAGAGCCCTCTGAAATGTGGAGTAGAAAGTAGCATCAAAATTACACTGAAGTACAGCACTTAAGTAAATTTCTTTCCATTGCCGATCCACAACATGCTGTCTAAAGTCCAGTTCTCTGAATGTGTGGAGTCAGATATGTAAACTCTATTGCCCAAATGATGTGCGACATGTCATTTTAAAGGGTAAAGAATTATCTCAGATTCTAAACATGTTGTTTTGAAAAATCATCGCCAGAAAACAAATTATTTTTGATAATCCATTAATTGGCTATTTTCTTGTGTTCCAGCTTCCTAAATGCAAGGATTTGCTGCTTGGCTTCGTCATACATGACAGTAAACTGAACATCTGTAGGTCTTGGACTGCTGGCTGATCAAAACTAGCATTTCAAAGACATCACATTGATTGGGAAAAATCAATCGATGCTGCAGTCCGCAACTAACCAACAAAAGTATCTTTATCGAATGAAGACTCGGGAAAAGAATAACAATAAACTCAACAGCGATTCAGTCCAGTTATCAGGCTATAATGAAGGAGGCAACAACAAGCATCACAGACGGTGGAGGAGACTCACCTCCTGTGACTGCAGCTCGCTCAGTTGACCCTGCAGCTCCGATATGTGGGTCTGCAGCTCCTGCTCTTTGTTCTGCCACCTCTGCTCGCTCTCAGCGACGGCGGCGTTCATCTCTATCCTGAACTCCGCTCTGAGACGATCCTCGCACTCCGCCCTGGAGGCACGCATCGGAATACAAGGACAAGAAGGACGCGAGTTAACACTACATGCAAATCCACTTTACGGTGTCTTGTGCTTCTCACTCATTTCAACAATCATTTTGAGCTGAGTAGGTTTCGTAGATGAGGTAGAAACTTGATTATTTCTCACTTTGTTTTTGTTCATGTAAGCATTAATCTGTTTTTTTATGTTTTTTTTCTATTTATATCTCCAGAGATTAGGAATTCCCTCGTTGGTTCTGGAGCAGAAACCTGTAAATCTCTCGCTAACAGGTTTTGTAAATGTGTGCCTTTGCATGGAAAAGTCATGTTGAGGGGTACTATTCTAAGAATAAATTATTGTTGTCTGCATGCACACTGGTACTTTGGAGTAATTTAAAGTTACTACGAGGAACTTTCATTCTGTGTATATTTTGGCAGTCCCTGTGGACGAAAATGTTTCCGAGCACCAGAGTCCCTTTAGAAAACCTCTCATTTTACTGCAGCAGGGTCTGACAGACTTTCCCGCCCAGTCCTGGTTCTGGTTCTCCCGTGTCCCCTTCTCTCATGCGGGCCCAGCAATACAGCCTGGGTCTCCAGCAGCGTGTGGTGTCGGTGTTAGCTCCTAGCAGGGACCGGAGGAGCAGAGAGGAGAAGCTCTGCTCCTGGCCGGAGGGGGAGATGCTGCTGCCGGGAGCTGAGCTCTCCTCCTCACCCGTCATCTGTCAACGACGGGCTGGTCTCTGCTGGAGCTGAAGGAGTTTCTGGTGAACCTGCATGATTTCATCTAATTTTTACGCAGAATCCGATCCGGTGGCCATCTCTCTGATGGTCTCGTTTACTGATGTAGGTCATATAGAGGATCAGGATTAAACTGACCAGTTAAAAGTTCCTCACATTAACTTTAACTAAAGGTAATGGCTGTTTTCAACATGAGGATACAGTAATGAAGAAGAAGATATGTGAAGTCACTTTATGAGTTAGGACAGGACTAATTGGTTTTCTGAAAAACATTATGGCTAGTGTTTATTTGGATCGGTTTTATTGCTGCAGATCATTTCTTGGCGCGTGTTGTTCTGGTAAAACACATCAGCCGTCGACGAAGCTCGTTCAAATTAAACTGAATTGGATACAGGTTGTTGCGAGCCACAATTTGAAGTATTTGCTTCTCAACTTAAGCCTTAGCAGCTCTGGCAGCGTTTCCTCTGCTACCTGATCCGGTCCTCGGTCTGCCGCTGGCTCTGGTCTAGGAGACTCCGCTCCGTGCTCAGGCGGCTCTGCTCCAGGACTTTCTCCTCCAGCCGGTGCTTGTCGGCCCTCAGAGACGCCGTCTCCCTCTGCTGCCTCTCTCGCTGCCTCTCCGCCTCCTCCTGCATCCGGGCCAGCCGAGTCCGGGCCTGACGGAGCTCTTCCTCCAGACGGGAGCACTGCGGCCCACTCGAGGCCGCGGCCTCGGGGGCCATCTGCTCCTTCTGGTCCTGCTGTCGGATCGCAGACTGCAGCCTACAGACCTGAGGGCACGAGAGCTTTTTACTTCACACATATTACAACTGATAATGAGAATCATTTCATCGGATGTATCTCATCTGGTAAAACCTCATTGGTGGCATCTTTCATCTTCGTCCTCAGCTCCTCCCTTTCCCTCTCCAGCTCGCTGCGTAGCTCCTCACCGGTCCTCCTCTCCTCATTCAAACGCGCACACACCTGCCAATCAAACGCCATTATGACATGAACAAACTTATCTTCTTTTTAGCCCTTTAACCCACCATACTATCATCTCCTTGTGGCTAAGCCTAATTCATAATTAGTCACAATGGAGAGCACATTATAAGAAGGCTCAAAGGGTAGGCAGTTATGTGGTAAAAATATATTTTCTACTTTTAGTACTTTGCTCTTTAAAAGGGACAGTTCAACCCAAAATCTAAAATATATATTTTTCTTCTTAGCTGTACTGCTATTTATCAATTGTTTTTGTGTGAGTTGCCTAGTTTTAGAGATATCAACCTTAGAGGTGTCTGCCTTCTCTCCAATATAATGTCAAAATAAATAAATATGGCAATCGGCTTGTGGTGCTCAAAGCACCAAAAATCACATTTGATGAACTCAACATCAATGTCTCTTTCCAGAAATCATCACCTGGCTACTCAAAATAACCCACAGACCTTGTTGTGAGTGGTTTTTAATGGTCTTAAAGGGGCAGTTCACCCCCAAAACATCTAAAATACCTATTTTTCCTTCAACTATGGTAGAAAGAAAGCAGTTCCTACGTGACACTGCTCACAACGATATCTCCAAAACAAGGCGACTCACACCAAAACAATCTAGATTGATAAATAGCACTACAGGTGAGAGGAACATTTTTTTATTTTGGGATGAAATGTTACTTTTAAGACCAGTAGTTTCCAAGTTTTCCAACTGGCGAGATGATGACACAGGAGATCAGACTTTTTTTTTTACAAATCTAAATAATGTATTTTTTTGTGATAAATTACTTTACAATTTCACCTCCAAAAAACAAAAAGAAAATCTTTGTGGTTCACCTGGCCATACGCCTATGAAGTGCTGACATGGGATTACCAGTAGGCGTTCATTTTAAAGGCTCACAAGCCCATAATGTCAAGTGAGTGACTCCTCATGAGGAACCGGCTGTGTAAAAGTTACCTAGCTATCGCAGCAGCTTGATATCTTCAATTTCATATAACAACAACAACCTTCTTCCGGTTGTTGTTTTTATTGTAACGTAATCTCACCTGGAGAATCCTGATTTGTGTTTCTCACACACAGAGAATGGAAAGTATAACTGCTGCAGCTGTGTGACGCGAAGAAAGGAACCAAATTATTCCTCAGAGCGGCTCGTCCTTGTACGCGAATTAATTAAACCCAAAGTCTGACTGAAACTAAAATAATGAAGCCTATAGGAGCCGCCTGCCGCAACTACTTTTAATATTCTGATACAAGTGCCCATTAAAGAACTGTGTCATCACGCCCCCTCCCCAGACAGATGCTGACCTCTTGGTTGGTCTTCCTCTCTGAGCTCAGAGCCTCCTGGACGCCGTGGAGCTCGGCGGCGTGCCTCCTCATCACCTCCTCTATCGCCTTCCGCACCTGCTCCTTCAACCGCTTCCTGTCCTCCTCGGCCTTCTCCACCAGCCTCCTCTTCTCCTCATCCAGCTTCTGCTGCACATTGGCCCTCTCCGTCTCCACCTGCTCGATGTTCTTGTCCAGCTGCAGACGAATGCGGACCCTCTCCACCTCCAGCTCCTTCTTCTGCCGGTCCACCTCCTCCTCCTTCTCCCTCCTCAGACGCTCCTTGATCCCCTCCACCTCGTCCCTCTCCTCGTCCCTCTCCCGGCGCAGTCTGTTCCTGTCCTTCTCGAACTTCTCCTTCTCTTGCTCTCTTTCCCTGCGCAGGTCCTCCCTCTCTTTGTCCATCTCCTTCTGCAGCTTCTCCCGCTCGTCGTCTGCGTGCTTTTGGATGCGACGCAGCTCCTCGGTCTGGGCTCGCACCATCTCGGAGCGCAGACTGGACAGGGCCTCGGCGTGCTGCGCGGACACACACACAGACATGTGATCAAATCGACTGGACGCGGCCGCTCTTTATTTGCGTGCGCGCGTCCGCAGGCCTTACCTGGCGTATCTGTCGGGCGTGGTCGTTGTTTCTGCCGCTGCTATGTAGCTCCAGCTCTCTGTTCCGGCTCTGCAGGCGGCTCGCCTGGCTCCTCAGCTCCTCCACTTCGGTGCACACGCACGTCTCGCAGCCCCCGCGGTTCAGCAGCTCCTCTGGTAGACGCACACAGAGAACACACGCCAAATAAGCACCAACACACACCAAGGTGAACACACACACACACACAGATTGATTATGCATAATATAAGCAGAATGGAACCAATGGCGAATGAGGAAGTGTCTAAAACAAAAAGTCACTCTCATGCAATTAATAAAATCTCTTTTTTTTTTCTTTTGCTGACTGGGTGTGATGACACTTTGATGAAACTGTTTGCCTTTGTGGAGGATGAATAACGTGCGTTTGTTGCATTCCCTGTATATATTACAAACTTAATTAACGCTGAGTCAGAGTGGCTAGTGGGAATGCGCTGAGCTCAGCGGGTTTCCGTGCACGGCTCTCTCTCCCCGGTGGACAGATGAACAGGCGAGACGACA